AGAAGAAGAAGAAGAAGAAGAAGAAGAATTTGCCATGGCAACTAAGCGAGTGAAAAGCAATAAGTCGGCTCTGCCTGCACTTCGTGCAGTCAGCCGACTTAATAATTAATTTTATCGAGAATCGTGTATTCTATCGTTTCATGTAGTTTGAGCAACGTTATATGTGCGTCTTCTACATCCTAAAAGACTGAGGACTTGACTATCTGGAAAAATAATTTCGGTAGTTACTATATATCAGTAGGTTATTTTTTAGTATTATTTAGGCAAGAACGATCCAAAACAATGAATCTCAATATATTCTATGTTTGATTTATATTCAAATGAATCTGTAGTCGACTAAATCTAAATATTAACGAGCAGTTTCGTTCGTTATCTTCTTTATTGCGAAAGAATGAAATGTTAATAAAATATTCTGCCACTCATACTTTCACGCAACTTATCCTATTATGATAGTAGTCAAAAGTTGTATCCGGTAACCCTATCATTTGCATCTGTCTATTCTAAATCTTTATTTTCCACTTTTTTTATAAGAAAATAAAATTGAATGATTGATAAGTGTTAAACACTTATATGATCAATATCAGAATACAATGTCAATGATGAGCATGAAGAATGTATCTTAATTTAATAAATTCCATCGAATCTTTCAGTATAAATCAAATAAATCCAAAAGTCATAATAATCATCACTGATTCAATTGCCGCGGAAAATAAAATCAGAAACTTTTGACTTTTCGTCTAATAGATAGATCAACAATAAATGAAAAATTTTGTCTATCAAACAATAAGTTTAGATTCACAATAATCAAATATATTTCAAATTCTATTCATTTGGTTATGAAATTAATAATTATAATTGTCTATTGATTTTCTGATATAACTAATCAACAGTTTTTTTCTTTTATTATGTAAACATGAACCTGTAACGTTCAGAAAAATATTTCGATCATTAAAATATATATAATCAATCAATTTAGAATCATCATCTCATAAACTAAACATAAATTCTTTAAGATAATCTGCTTTATTTTTAATCTGATAAATAATTATATATACAAATGAGTTTTAATTTACATTTATCCATAAAAAAATGTCGAAACTACCCTTCATTTCAATATATTAATGTGCTCTACTGTTCTTTTTTTGGATAACTTTTGATGCTAACATCGTAGAGACCTACGGTTTTCTCTAGTCGAAAGAGAATATTCGAGATCGTTGAAGTATATCGTAAATTGAGTGATCAGCAATTGATCAATCAGCTAAGTGCTTGGTGGAAATGGTCGAAAATGATATTCTGAAGTTATTTTCCTTACGATTTACACAAGTCAAAAGCTCCTAACTTGTTTCGTTCAAGAGTTATAAAACTTTTCCAGAGACACTTGATTTGGGTCAATTGATCTGTAATCATCCGAAAAACCACCCATACCCAAAAAGCAATTCACCATGTTGACTCGAATGATGAATATTTGTTTTTAAGTTCGAGATGATCAGACACCATTATCTCATTATTTCTGAAATACCACAATCAGCCTTCATGTAACAAAGAAGCCGACATTTCGAAGATATTAAGATAACAGAGTCAAATCATTTCGAATAAAAAATTAAACAAACATCACCATTTGAGTTAGCATAGTGAATTACTACTGCCTAGGTGTTCTTCCAAATGATCATAGGTGAATTGGCTGAAATCGGAGACTTCAGGAAAAGTCTTATAATTCTAGAGCGGAAGAAACTAGAAATATCGGCCTCGTATAGATCGAAAGAGAAGTATTTATTCTATAGATTAGTTTGTATTAAAAGTCTAAATGGAAAGGAAAATAGATTCAAAACATCGTTTTCGACTATTTTAACCAAGAACTTACATGATTGATCAATTGTTGATCAGTCAATATTCGATCATCTTGAATCTTCTCTTTTGAATGATGAAAATCACAGTTCTCGGTGATGTTCCTATCGAGGTTTATTCAAAAAACAATGGAACACATTATATTCTGAAATACATAGTCATTATCTCTAGTTTTCTTTTGAATTTAATAAAGGAAATTTGTGTTCAATAGCGGTTGTCACATATATTAAATATTGTCGAATTTGATTGCTTAATATTGCATTGATCTTGATTTTTCGTTTTCTTTTGTTAAACGATTACTTTGTTCAAGAATATTTGATTCTATTTTATGATATTGAACAGGCATCGATAATCTTCTTTGATTACCAAGATAATTTAAATCAGTATCATCTAATTTATTAATATAATTATGAAAATAACTTGGTTGTTCCCAAGATGAACAATGACACATTAAATAACGATCTAAACTACGAAGTGTTTCGCGTTGAACTTCAGAATTAAGTATTGTATAGATTAATGCAACAAGTGAACCCTACAAAGAAAAAAAAATAAAATGAATTTTGACAAAAGAAAAACATTTTTTTCTTCTTCTAGAATTTACCTGAAATGATGATGATATTGTATGTACAGTAAGATGAATAAGAATTAAATTTGATATTAATAATGGTTTTGTATTCCACATAAATAAAACATAATGAATACCAAATAAAGGCAATAAGATTAATGTTGAACGTGCTAAACGACTAAATCATTTTTTTGATAGATTATTGACATTGTAATCTAAAAACTTTTTTTTTTTACCTATATTTAGCAAAACGTCTGTTTTCAGAAGTTACTATTCGATAAGTTGTATTTAATTTTCGAACAAGTATTATACATACATAATTAAAGATAAGAAAATTTAACTAAATTCAATAATAGAAAACAAAAAGGAAAACAGAAAACTTTTATATCAAGAAACAACTATTATTATAATTACAATTTGAAGAATCATATTTGGTCCATGAATAATCCAATCATAAATTGATGGTTCAAACCAGCATGTATACAAATCTGTTTTCAATATAAACCGTGTTGTATATGTTATTATTATTAGACAAAGGGGCGCCGCTATAAAAAGTTCTTTACTTTTTTTTTTCTTTGACATGTATTATTTCAAATATTTATATATACTTACACCAACCCATTAAAATATACCATCGAATTTTATCTTTGCATGCACTAGCTCGTAACAAACGACATAAATATAAAGCTTCACAAAAAACAGACCAATGTGAAACACTGTTATTAATATAATTCATTAGGATAATAAATAATTTACAATCAAGTAACTAATTAAATATAAAAGAAAATTTTCTGAAAAATAGTTATTGTCTTTGTTTTAATTCTATAACAAGAAAAAGCAGAAATATTGTCTTTACTTGATCTTCTTTAAAATAAATTGTTGTTCGATTACAGCTATCAGTACGTTCAAAAACATTATGAGAAAAATAACCTTTACTCATGAAAATTTCAGCAATAATTTGAATAATTGATCGAATAAGGAAAACAAGAAAAATATTAACATGAAGAATATTTCTAGAATATTTTCGAAGACGACTAAATTTTACAAAAGTACAAAAGTTTATTTGATTAATTTTAAATATTTTTTGACTAACCTATTACCAAGTAAAATTACAATACCAATAGTAAGAAGAAGAATTGAAAGGCTATCCATACAAATAATAAAATATTTTCGAGTTATTAAAAAACTCAAAGGTATTAAAAATATATCTGTTCTATTCTAAAAACAAGTACAAGTTTATTTTAAATATTTCTCTAATAAAATATACCAAATTCAATGAATTCACAGATGAACAACCAATGCATAATTCATAATGACTTCTTCCTTCCCATTGAGATTCATTTTTACATAAAAGTGAAGCATAAGCTATTAATGAAAAAAAAAACGGAACTTGGATTTATCATCATATCAACCCATAGAACCTTTATACCATCGGAACTAGCATCAGGAAAGATATGTACAGGACATTGTATAATACGACGAACGCCAGCTTCTGTTGGTGGCCAACAAGATATTCGATCAAAATATGCTGGACAATATGAATCTAAATATACATTATTGGCTAATTCGCTTTCTATTATTATGCATTTTGCACTTACGATTTACTGTCCATAAGGACATATTATTCATTGATGTACAAGCATGAGC